ATTCAACATTTTTATAACACTTTGCAGGCAGTTCTGACAAGCAGCCAGCTTGTCTCCTGTCTAGACTTGGGTCAGGGCATCTTGGAAGACTTCTCTTTGTCTTCTGGTGAAAAGGCTGCCAAAGTTTGTTGTAGGACTTCGGGTTCAAGTCCACAAGGAGAATTATCACAGATCACTATGATGAGCAGTGCTCCCTGGGATCTACATTCAGAAGCATTCCAAACATTTTCTGTTGAGGTCGAGGACATACAGAAAACCACACAACTCATAGGTGCATAGCTTAATGAAATCTTATCAAATGCACAATATTTACAAAGTGAATACACCTGTATCATGCCACTCAGATCAAGAAACTTCCAGAAGGCACCCCTTGTGCCAGTTTCTCCCCAACCCTCAAGGGTGACTACTACTTTGACTTCTAATAGCATGGATTCATTTTGCCCATTTTGAACTTTATATAACTGAGATTCCACACCATGTTCTATTGTACTCCTGGTTTCCTTGGCACAAAATGGTGTGTGTGAGACTCATCCAAGCACTTGTGTGTGGCTGCTGATTGGTCCTTCTCATTGCTGCAAAGGGCTCCTTGTGCAAACACTCCACAGTGCATTGATCTATTCTGCTATTGATAGACGTTTGGGAAGTCTCCAGTCTTTAGTATGAATGTGCTATTCACATCCTAGGGAGTGGACTTACATCCACTTACATCCTCATTCCTCTTGGGTATATACCCAGGAATGCCAATCCTGGGTCACAGGGTGTTCAAATGTTCAGCATTAGAAAAAACAGCCAGTTTTCCAAAGTGTTTCTATCAAATCCTCTCCACCCAATAGAGGCAGAAGTAGTGTCAGACCCATTAGTGACCTGAGCATGTTTTAAAATTCTCTCTTAGCCTCAGTATTTTCATCTGTAAAGTGGGGCTTTTATGAAGACTTGTAGGTGCTTCATCTTAGTAATGACTTTCCCCGTGAGGAGTTACTCTTCTGAAAAGCTCTGGAATCTTTAGAAATCCCTGTAGGTAATGCTTATGCTATGAAACTCAACTGTCGACTCAGGGAAGTCCATCATAACAAGTTATGTGCATAAGTTCACTTGCAATGCAGCCTTCTTATATGACTGGCTATTTACATCCATGCATGTGAGATTACTTCTCAATTAATATTAACTAGTTGCCTTTGAAATCTGAAACATTAAGTACAAAAATCTTCAATGCTTACTGAGAATCCTACACAACGCATTTCCTTGCAACTCTGATCACTCTTGGTTTAATCATTTTGTCCATACCTTGACAAGATAGAAAATCTCCAAAGTGATACAGGCAACCTGTAAAGGCTTACCCACGGGCACAGAATGGAGAATTTATGTAAAGATGTGTCACCTTTTCTAGTATGTTTCAAATGAACTCAAATACTGATGTTCAGTTCAGTTCAGTTGCTCAGTCATATCTGACTCTTTGCAACCTCATGGACTGCAGGATGCCAAGCTTCCCTGTCCAACACCAACTCTCAGAGTTTGCTCAAACTCATGTCCATCGAGTCCGAGATGCCATCCAACCATCTTATCCTCTGTTGTCCCCTTCTCCTCCTGGAGACACTGATACAGTATCTGATACAATATTGATACAAATACTGATGGAAGAGCACTAACTAGGATTCAACCTGATGAAGCTTGGAAAATATTTGTCTTCTTCATCCTCTTCCCTTTCTTCTCTCTCACCCCTGCCTTCCAGTCGATATATTGCTTTTGTGGAAATTCAGTGGTTTCTTGGTAGAAAGAAACCACTTTGGAAGACAGTTTGATGACATGTTACAAATCTGAAGATGTACTACTTGGGACCCAGAAATTCCATGCTTAAGGCTGTTCCTACAGAAATATATACTTATAGGTACCAGGATTACTCAAAGCAGGAGTTTGTTTAAGAGCCTCAACTGGAAACAACTTAGATGTGTATCAGCAAGATAATGGGTAAACAGATTCTGGCTTATTCTTTCACTGAAATACTATACAGCAGTGAAAGTATGATCAGTCACAGTTATGTGTGACAAAAGTAGATGAATCTTAAAGACAATTAAAAAAAAACTTATTGAAGTACAGTTGATTTACAATGTTGTGTTAATTTCTGCCATACAGCAAAGTGATTCAGTTATATATATATACATATATATATATACATTCTTTTTCATATTATTTTCCATTATGGTTTATGAACTGTATAGTTCCCTGTGCTATACAGTAGGATCTTGTTCATCCATTCTGTATATAATAGTTTGCATACACTTATCCCAAACTCCCAGTCCTCCCCTTTCCCACCTACCCTCCATCCGCCTCGGCAACCACAAGTCTGTTCTCTATGTCAAAGACAACGTTGAACCAAAGAAACCATACATCATAGAACATATACTGATGATTATATTCATCTACGGGGCTTCCCAGGTAGCACAAGTGGTAAAGAACCTGAAGGCCAATGCAGGAGATATAAAAGACTCAGGTTCGATCCCTGGATTGGGAAGATCCCCTCGAGAAGGAAATAGCAACCCACCCCAGTATTATGGCCTGGAGAATCCCGTGGACAGAGAAGCCTGGCGGGCTACAGTCCATAGGGTTGCAAAAGAGTCAGACACGACTGAAGTGAGGTACACACATATATTCATATAAAATCTGAGGAGATGCAAAGTGGAACTGTGTTGTTAGGAATGCACAATAAAGTAGTAAAAGTATAAAGAATAGCAAAGTTACTAATACCATAAAATCAGGATGCGAGTATACTGCTGAGGAGAATGGGTATATGTGTGTTTCCAGAAAGGCAGCAAGGTGCCCTTTCCATCTGAGCTTGGGTGTTAGTTTCCTGTGTGCCTGTTTCACAGCAAATTCTTAAACTGTGTATTTATGCTCTGAGTATTTTTCTGTGTGTTTTCAGTTTCACAGTATAAAAGGGGCCCTGTAGTGGCTCTGGAGGGAAGCAAACACCATGGGACACACATAAGTCAGACCTTTATCCAGCCAAGTAGGACTCAACCTGTAAAGGCTTACCCACAGGCACAGAATGGAGAATTTATGTAAAGATGTGTCACCTTTTCTAGTATGTTTCAAATGAACTCAAATACTGATGTTCAGTTCAGTTCAGTTGCTCAGTCATATCTGACTCTTTGCAACCTCATGGACTGCAGGATGCCAAGCTTCCCTGTCCAACACCAACTCTCAGAGTTTGCTCAAACTCATGTCCATCGAGTCCGAGATGCCATCCAACCATCTTATCCTCTGTTGTCCCCTTCTCCTCCTGGAGACACTGATACAGTATCTGATACAATATTGATACAAATACTGATGGAAGAGCACTAACTAGGATTCAACCTGATGAAGCTTGGAAAATATTTGTCTTCTTCATCCTCTTCCCTTTCTTCTCTCTCACCCCTGCCTTCCAGTCGATATATTGCTTTTGTGGAAATTCAGTGGTTTCTTGGTAGAAAGAAACCACTTTGGAAGACAGTTTGATGACATGTTACAAATCTGAAGATGTACTACTTGGGACCCAGAAATTCCATGCTTAAGGCTGTTCCTACAGAAATATATACTTATAGGTACCAGGATTACTCAAAGCAGGAGTTTGTTTAAGAGCCTCAACTGGAAACAACTTAGATGTGTATCAGCAAGATAATGGGTAAACAGATTCTGGCTTATTCTTTCACTGAAATACTATACAGCAGTGAAAGTATGATCAGTCACAGTTATGTGTGACAAAAGTAGATGAATCTTAAAGACAATTAAAAAAAAACTTATTGAAGTACAGTTGATTTACAATGTTGTGTTAATTTCTGCCATACAGCAAAGTGATTCAGTTATATATATATACATATATATATATACATTCTTTTTCATATTATTTTCCATTATGGTTTATGAACTGTATAGTTCCCTGTGCTATACAGTAGGATCTTGTTCATCCATTCTGTATATAATAGTTTGCATACACTTATCCCAAACTCCCAGTCCTCCCCTTTCCCACCTACCCTCCATCCGCCTCGGCAACCACAAGTCTGTTCTCTATGTCAAAGACAACGTTGAACCAAAGAAACCATACATCATAGAACATATACTGATGATTATATTCATCTACGGGGCTTCCCAGGTAGCACAAGTGGTAAAGAACCTGAAGGCCAATGCAGGAGATATAAAAGACTCAGGTTCGATCCCTGGATTGGGAAGATCCCCTCGAGAAGGAAATAGCAACCCACCCCAGTATTATGGCCTGGAGAATCCCGTGGACAGAGAAGCCTGGCGGGCTACAGTCCATAGGGTTGCAAAAGAGTCAGACACGACTGAAGTGAGGTACACACATATATTCATATAAAATCTGAGGAGATGCAAAGTGGAACTGTGTTGTTAGGAATGCACAATAAAGTAGTAAAAGTATAAAGAATAGCAAAGTTACTAATACCATAAAATCAGGATGCGAGTATACTGCTGAGGAGAATGGGTATATGTGTGTTTCCAGAAAGGCAGCAAGGTGCCCTTTCCATCTGAGCTTGGGTGTTAGTTTCCTGTGTGCCTGTTTCACAGCAAATTCTTAAACTGTGTATTTATGCTCTGAGTATTTTTCTGTGTGTTTTCAGTTTCACAGTATAAAAGGGGCCCTGTAGTGGCTCTGGAGGGAAGCAAACACCATGGGACACACATAAGTCAGACCTTTATCCAGCCAAGTAGGACCTGGTTAGTTATCTGCTCCTGGCCAGTTCAGATCTGACACCGCTGAGGGTCTTTCCGAAGATAGGGGTCAATATTTCATTCCAGTTTGCAGGGCCTCCATGATTTGAAACTTTCACAGAAGTACCATCAAACCATGCTCCCAGTTTTTCAAATTGGTGTTTTGCTAAATAGAGCAAATTTGGGTAGAGGACTCCCTCTAGACTTGCATCTCCATCCCTCTCTGTCTTTTAAGTTTCTTCCTTCCTCCCTCCTTCTCCTTGCAAGATGCTGGGAGCGTCCGGCTGTCTGCAACCGAAATGGAACCCGTTGGAAAACAAGGTTTCCTCCCAAGGGAGGAGAAATCTGTCGTCCCAACTTCCCCCTTGCCACCCGACCATCCGGCTGTCCCCTCTCTCCCCCACAAAACTCCGCGGAGCCAGGTCCCCTCGCGCCTCCGCGATTGGTCGCGGGCCATCATGTGTCCCCCACTTGGGGTGGGTCTTTCTCCCGTTAAACTCATCAAACGCTCCTCTTTGGAGCTTCGCTGGCCAGTGGTTCAGACCTTTGCGCCCGTTTTCCCCCTTTCTTTCCCCTTCCCCCAGCCATCCTTCCACACCAGTCTTATTTTAGCAAAATCTAGAGAAGAAGGAGGAGGAGGCACTGGGGCGGGGAGGGGGATGGTGGACGCTAGGCATTGCAGCATCCGGAGCAGCTATTGAGTGGCTAAGAGAACCGCGCATCCCTCTCCCCCTCTCGCGCTCTCTCTCCGTTTTTTTTTTTTTTTTTCCCCTCTTGTTGGGAATTTTCAGGATTTCATTGCTGCAATTTAACCCCAAGATGAGGCACGGTTGAGTGAAACGCTGCGCGCACACGCACATTCACAGTCCTCCTTGGGCAGAAGAGGCAGCCGCTGGTGATTCAGGAAGGAAAAAAAAAATCACCGGGACCCTGCGGCTTCAAGACTCCTTAAGACCTCTTCGGAGTGTTTCCCTCCCCCTTCCCCTTCTTTCCTTTCCCCTTAATACTCTTAATTTAATTTTTTGGCTACAGAGCTTTCAGCATTTTTAAGGTCTAGGAACTCAAGCAAAACANGCCCCGCCCCCGCACCCTCCTCCAGCCCCTCCTTCTCCGGGGTCAGCCAGGAAGATGTCCCGAGCTGCTGCTATCCCCGGCTGGGGCCGGGCAGCCGCCTTGTGAGCCCCCGACCCGAGGCGCCGAGCCGCCGCCGCCCGATGGGCTGGGCCGTGGAGCGTCTCCGCAGTCGCAGCTCCGGCCGCCGTCTTCACAGCATCGGCGGCGGCGGCGGCGCCTTCCGCATCGTTCGCCGCAGCGTAACCCGGAGCCCTTTGCTCTTTGCAGAATGGCCCGCTTCGGAGACGAGATGCCGGCCCGCTACGGGGGAGGAGGCTCCGGGGCAGCCGCCGGGGTGGTCGTGGGCGCCGGAGGCGGGCGAGGAGCCGGGGGCAGCCGGCAGGGCGGGCAGCCCGGGGCGCAAAGGATGTACAAGCAGTCAATGGCGCAGAGAGCGCGGACCATGGCCCTCTACAACCCCATCCCCGTCCGACAGAACTGCCTCACGGTCAACCGGTCTCTATTCCTCTTCAGCGAGGACAACGTGGTGAGAAAATACGCCAAAAAGATCACCGAATGGCCATATCCTTTGCCCCGAGCCCCCGGCGGCTGCGCCTCCCCCCTCCCTCCGCTTCCCCTCTTCCAGGCTGGGAGAGACCCGGGGGTTGATGGGAGGTGATGGTGGGGGGGTCTTCCAGGGGATGGGAGAGGGGGCACCAGGGAGGAGTGCGGAGTGTCTCTCCACCCCGATCTGGGTTGAACTACTGTGCAGGCTTGGGGTTGGGGGGTGCCAGGGGGAGTGGATTCCTCCTAAGGACCGATTTCGGAAGGAGGGCTGGGCCCTGGGGGTCGTACGGGGCCTTTAGAGCCAGTTCTGGGTGGGTCAGAGTTCTCCGGAATGAGCGTGGACCCGGCCAGGGCCTGGGCGCTCTGGCCAGAGCAGCGGAAGGACAGGGGGAAAGGCCTTGGCTGGGTTTCCCTTGCCGCCCCTCACCAGAGTCCACGGTTATCTCTAGAGACGGGCCCAGTCTCAGCTCTCAGGCCTCTCCACCCCTGCCAGCCCCGAGGTTGGGGGCCACCCTCTCAAGGAGGGGACCTAGGGGCTCCCAGGGCCAAGAGCCAGTATGAGAGCATATGGCCTTCATACAGAGGGGCCAGCACTGGCCAGAATGAATATTCCCTAGTGGGCCGCTGGCTGGGAAGGGTTGAGGGGCGTTTATTCTCCCCCATGTCTGCAGGTTCCGTTGCCTTCTACCACTGATTAGGGATCTCATCATCTTTGGGGGTGTAGGATACATCCAAGTTTGCCCCATCTGGGGCCCTGACCTGAAAGACCCAGGATGAGCTACTTCCATAAGAAAGACAGGACAAGAGAAAATGAGGTGCCGGGTCCTTCCTGGGGTGCCCTGTCAGGCCTTGGGTTGGAATCGTCTTCTTCCACCCTAGAGACCCAGGAGGGGACACCAGGAGAGTCAGCCTTCATGTGGACATCTCGGGCAGGTAAATGCCTTTTTTTTTTTTAAATTTTAAATTAAAGCTCCAGAGGAAGAAGGTGGAGTCCAGATTTCCCTCTGTGGAGATGCTATTAAAATGCAGATCCCCCCGTGTTTCTTTAAATTCGTGCCTGCTTGAAATAAACCTTGAGGAGGGCTTAACATCTGTTGAGATGTAGGCAGGCAAGGATGGGTAATTAGTCGGGCTTTCTAGCAGTTATCTAAGCATGACCCAGATTCCAAGTGGGGGGAATGCACCCTGCTCCCCAGGCTGGCCGGACACCGTGCCGTGCCCAAGTGTGCCGCTCCTCGGCTGGGTTCCAACTGGCTGCCCTCAGTGTAAAAATGAACAGGACTGGTTGGGTCCCTGGGCTTAACTGATGAGCCCTCCCCCATCCTCTTTGTGTATGGTTTTGACTGTTATACACCCTACAAGGCTGAACCCTGGGTGGTCCTGGGGTTGCTTATTGGAGGAACATGTTGGCTGGTGGATTCACTTTGAGCAGGGCTCAGGATTGAGCAGGATTTGGGCTTCTGGGCGCCGAAACTGCAACAGAGAGCTCTGAGCTTTTGGAGTGTGTGTGAACAGTTTACTTGGAGGGTGATGAAAATTCAGAGGTTCAGCAGCTGTCTTTTGGGAGGGGTGTACCACTAATCACGATGTCATTTCGATGGGTGCCCCAGGCAGGAGCCAGGTCTTTGCCTCCCAAGTTTCAACCTTGTGATGATCTGTTGAAATGGTCCGGGGTCTTGTAATCACTCTGCTTGTCTCCCCTCAATCCCTGGAGGAGTGGGGGGGCACAGAGAATGGCAAGATGTCACTGTGTGCAGGATCAGATAAGTCGGGGGTGTCCAGGAAGGACTCACTGGGCTGACAGGTTTCCGGGTTGAAAATGGCTTTAGATTGCCTTCCGGAGCCTGGATTTAGAGTCTTCTAAGAGGAAAGGAAGAAGGTGGGAGTCCAAATGTGTCCTTAACTCACCCCAGTCCAGCCTGAATCCTGCAGATCGGAGGACTGTTGGGGAGTGAGGGGATGGCAACAGTCCTTTGGAAGGAGAAATCTTAAAAGAGAGATGCAGGTGACCTGGGAGCACTCGGTCCTTGAGAGGTTTTCTCTGACTTTCATGCTCTCGGGAGCTTCGTGATGAGTTTGTGCATTTTGCTGTTTGCAGCCAGTTTCTGTTCACTCTCTGGGCCTGAGGCAGCAAACACATTATACAGTCCCGCTATCAAAGGGGAGCGCTCTCCACTCCCCCAATCTGTCCCCAAGCAGAGTCATCCAGGACTGAGCTTTGGTGGGGGGGTTGGGGGTGGGGAGGAGAGAGGATGAGAGGGGAGGGGACAGAGAGATGGGGGCTGGGTAAGGAAATCTGGGCCAGTGCAAAGAGGTCGGATGTGTGGAAACATCGAGGAGTCAGGGCAGCGGGGCAGAACATTGACTTGAGTATCCAAATATTTCTGCTATTAAAAAACGTGTTTAAGTACTTATTTAGAACTTTAAAAATAAAGACTTACACACACACACACACACACAATGAAAATTCAGAGGTTCAGCAGCTGTCTTTTGGGAGGGGTGTACCACTAATCACGATGTCATTTCGATGGGTGCCCCAGGCAGGAGCCAGGTCTTTGCCTCCCAAGTTTCAACCTTGTGATGATCTGTTGAAATGGTCCGGGGTCTTGTAATCACTCTGCTTGTCTCCCCTCAATCCCTGGAGGAGTGGGGGGGCACAGAGAATGGCAAGATGTCACTGTGTGCAGGATCAGATAAGTCGGGGGTGTCCAGGAAGGACTCACTGGGCTGACAGGTTTCCGGGTTGAAAATGGCTTTAGATTGCCTTCCGGAGCCTGGATTTAGAGTCTTCTAAGAGGAAAGGAAGAAGGTGGGAGTCCAAATGTGTCCTTAACTCACCCCAGTCCAGCCTGAATCCTGCAGATCGGAGGACTGTTGGGGAGTGAGGGGATGGCAACAGTCCTTTGGAAGGAGAAATCTTAAAAGAGAGATGCAGGTGACCTGGGAGCACTCGGTCCTTGAGAGGTTTTCTCTGACTTTCATGCTCTCGGGAGCTTCGTGATGAGTTTGTGCATTTTGCTGTTTGCAGCCAGTTTCTGTTCACTCTCTGGGCCTGAGGCAGCAAACACATTATACAGTCCCGCTATCAAAGGGGAGCGCTCTCCACTCCCCCAATCTGTCCCCAAGCAGAGTCATCCAGGACTGAGCTTTGGTGGGGGGGTTGGGGGTGGGGAGGAGAGAGGATGAGAGGGGAGGGGACAGAGAGATGGGGGCTGGGTAAGGAAATCTGGGCCAGTGCAGAGATCGGATGTGTGGAAACATCGAGGAGTCAGGGCACCGGGGCAGAACACTGACTTGAGTATCCAAATATTTCTGCTATTAAAAAACGTGTTTAAGTACTTATTTAGAACTTTAAAAATAAAGACTTACACACACACACACACACACATATATATATGTGTGTGTATATATATATATATATATATTTCCTTGCATTTAGAGAGAGAGAGGAAAGTACCCAAGTCAAGTCCAGCTTAGCAAGTGAACATCCATGCCATTAGCATCTGGGCCAAGGAAAAGAATGTGACCAGCTCCCCAAAAGTCCCCTCCCACCTCCTTCCAGTTAATCCCCCTACAAGGGTTACCGCTACCCCGACTTCTGACCCCGTGGGTTCATTCGGGCTCCTTTTAAGCCTCCTGGAAATGGAGTCAGAGGCTGTGTTCCTCTGTGTCTGGCTTTTTTTTTTTCTGCTCAACAATCTGTCTATGAGATGGAGCCATGTCGCTTCAGGTCATTGTTGGTTTTCCTTCTCAACGCTGTGTGATACTTTGTTGTTGACTCTCTGCAATGTAGTTCTCCGTTCTATGGTTGAGGGCCATTGGAGTAATTTCCAGATTGTGGTGCTGGGAACGTTCTTGTGTGTGTCTTTGGTTGAACTTTGTGGGGAAGGCGTTTCTCTTGAGTTTGTACCTAAGAGCGGATGATGTATACTTGGAAATAGCATTTACTGAGGGTTGCAGGTGAGTGGGCAAAGCAGACTTCTCAGTGCCATGTGAAGGAGGAGTCATTACGCATTCCATGAACTTGGCTGTGTGCTCCTAGGGCCTGAGCGTTACCTCCACATGCAAATTCCAGCATGGCATGCTGGTGGAGGGTGCAAACTTGCATTCTCCATGCTCATGGGCACTTTGCCTCTGTGATCCACACTCCACTCCACTTCTGCACCCCACTGTCCTCGGCAGCTCCAGCTTGAAGCCAGCAGTGAGATTTAAAGAGATTCTCAGGAATTTGATTTTTCTCTTCCTAAGTCAGAAAACCCACATGGAAATCTTTGATGTTCGGGTTTCCATTGGTGTTCTTCACTCTCGAAGGAGTCCAGGCAGCCGACATGCCTGGACCACACACCTGGGTTCCGTGTTCTTGTGGATGGGAAGGCTGATTTAAATATGGCTGTGACGGGCTCTGATGATGACTTCTAAAGAGCTCAAATCTGTCAGCTCAATAAGGCGCATCTGTAAACCTTCCTGAAGCCCCCACTTAATGCCACTCACTCCTGACGCTCTTCCGGCGCCAGTGTGAATGTCATCTTCCTCCAGCCCTGCTGATGCCAGCAGATCGTCCCCTGAGCACTGGGTAGGAATGTGGGCCATGGCAAGAGCTACAGACTCTGGTCTGTCTTACCCTGCTCACTCTCCCAAAGCACATGCAGGATTCCAGGTTCTCACCCCCTCGATTTCGGGAATCTCAGTGAGAAACCCACAGTCCCCTCACATCAGATGCCCACTTTCTTTTTTTAATCAGAAACTCTTTAAAGAGGAATGTTCTGCATAGGAAGCAGACAGTGACGCCCTGGGAGATGTTGAAGCATGTTATCAGAGCTTTGGCCCACCCGGAAAGTAGATCGTGCTAGAAGGGCAAAGGAGAATGGCTATTTAATTCTTCTTCTAGATCAGTGTGGCAGATATTTCCGGAAGAGTAAAACTCTTTGTGAAGTAGAAATTAGTGTGACTTTTCCCTTGGGATTTTTTTTTCCTCCTCCACAATCCCCAAATTCTGAAAAATAAAAGATTAGCTC